GCCTTCTCTAATGCAGTATTTTACAAATAAATCTTGGAAAGCAGGTCCTGACGGCAGTGGTGGGAGCCTTGCATTTCTCAGGTGCCTTACATATAGCTAATGGCTTAAGCAACTCTACAAGTAGCTAGGAATCTCATTAACCCTTTCACAGATGGCAATGCAGTAAGCCCATTTCTCTCACATGTTATAGGCACAGCTCTGTTAAAAACTGGCCAGTTTAAATCATTTCTTGGCTCTCAGAATGAGCACGCATTCAACAGTCAGTCCTATTAAAATCTAGGAAACCATATTGCTTCAGACAGGCAATTTTCTAAAACTCTCCAAATCAACAAAGAAAATCCCTCTGTATTTATGAAGTGCACTAAAAAAAGAAGAAAATAAACATTGTTAAACAGATGATACCTTTCTATTACTGAAACAAAAATGTACTTTGATATATGTCATATTTTATCATCAGCTTATATCCTCTAGTTCTTCCTTTTGATCCACAGTAGATCAGGTACTTGACATCTCAGTAAGTTTGGATAAAAGTTTTATGAAGTTTACTGTGCGGCTTTAATGCTTCTAGACTCCAGTGGGAGCAAARGCAAGCAGACTGCCTTCCATACCAKGCCAATAAACTCTTCTGGACAGGGACAGGCAGACACTACCTTCCTCTCCCACCACGAAAGGAAGATTTTCAGGAAGATTTMTCTTGATGAGTCTGTGCCCTCCCACTGTCCTCCTGTGAGTCTGTTCTCCTGCCACTTGACCATTTTGCACTGCTGAGAGAAATCTAGCAGTACTTTTGTGGATATTAAAGGAAATAAAAATTCCTTCTTAACCTCCTTGAGCCCAGCTCACCTCTCACTTCATACCTCAGGACCTCCAAAACACTCAAGAGGATGAGAACCTACAGTTCTTTCCCTCACTGAGCATTTTAGTCTGACCATTCTTGACATCTACTGTAATTATTTTAATAGGTCTGAACCAATCTTGGCACCATTTGCAGCATTTTTGTCTGTTAGAGACAATGACAGAGTGACCTAATGGACATTTGATGTCTATTAGACAAAATACCATTTAGTCAGGGCAAACATTTATGGAAGAAAACATCCTACCAAGTAACAGGAAGGGTCTGTGTGCTTGGAGCTCTGCGAGCTCTCGCCCATCTCCACCTGGGAGCACCAAACAAGACACGAGTGTTTCGGATCCCATGTCTCCTCTGCAGACACAACTGCTTGAACTCTTGGATCCAGTGACCCTCCTAGACCAAGGAGGGTATGTATACCCCCAGTTTGCCAGAGTTCTTGAAATAAGCCTAGCCTGATTAATTATTTCTGCTAGGAATGAAACTTCAAAAGGCAGATTATGCGTCCTGAAACAAAATAAACACTTACCCGTATTTCCATTAGGAAAATCAGAAGCAGCAGTACCAGCACACAGTGGTGGTTCTGAACTAAACTCCGGAAATGATAAACACACACAATTTATAACACTGCAATAACATGGCAATGTTCTATTCAACTACAGCTGAATAGCTTGCTATAATAATAATATTTGAATTTTCTATGTTTCCATAACAGTGTTTTCCTATCACCATGACATTTTCAAAGATGTGACAGTGTTTTGGAGTTAAGCAAAAAAGTTCTCTTAGCTCAATAAATTGCTACTTATGASTGTTAATTAAAACAACTCTGTGTATTCACATCGTTTATATCAGATAATGTCTTAGCAGTTTAGCAGCTGAGGTACCTCCTAGCAGCACATGAAGTTACGCTATACCACTTCATTTTCATTCTTTGCTTTAAGGAAATATTCTTAAAAAAAAATGGAACAGACAAACAGGCCATTAAAATTCCTCATAAGCTGGAATAATAATATACCTACACATCCACAAATTAACAAATGTTTTCAGTTCTGCTTTTTTGTGGTTCCTGTAATAAAGAAATCCTCAGATTGTTTCTCTCTTTTGTCAACCTTTCCTAGCATCTGCAATTATAGTAAACGTAGTTTTATTTTTATAAACAGAAAAAATAAATGCAATAAGGCAACAGACCTATTTTTCACTAATGCATTAATCAGATATAAGACTAACGTTTAAGATGCACTCAACAAATATTTGATAAGACATGAAAACAGCTATAAATGTACTATAATATTATTATTTACCATGATATTCATGGCTGTTGAAGTTTATACAGAAGTAGTTTCAATTTGGAGAACTCTATTAAAACGGACAATGAAGATTTTCATGTTTCAATTATAGTTTGCCTTATAGATCTATTTAATTTTGAATAAACACTTATGCATCAGAGGACTTAATTAAGCTCCTATTCTACAAGGCTATTTTTGACATTAAGCTAAACACAGATTGAGATGGCATTACTCTGGCCAAAAAGTGGTATCCCTCAACTCTGTTCTTCCATAAAGGCAAATGGGAATTAGATGAAAATTAGTCTTTTGAGATGTGTRCTTTCTGAAGGCTAATTTAACTTCACTTGGCCTTTGAGAATTACATACAAATAAATCTGTAATATTAAAAAATGAGTACTGTTTTCTTCGAATAGAGAAATCATAATTTTATATACAAATAACTGCCTCAACACTAACTACTTTCATTACAGGGAGGCAACCAAACGATGCATGGAATCCAAACTCAGACAAGAGAAATCCTTAATACTTAACTGAGTTAGAWGGGAGCGATTCAGCCAGCCGCCCCACTTCATGCAATCCAATAGGATGCAGAATATAAATCCCACGCTCTCCCAAACTCGGCTTTTACCAGAAGAGTTTTCCTCTGTGGCCTCTGTCGTGTCCTCCTTGGCAGGGGCTGACTGCCCTCTTGGCTGGCAATGACTCTCGCTCAGCACCTCCGCATCAACACCCTACGGGGAAGCCTCTCTGCTTGTCCATGCACTCCAGCACAACGACTACCTTCAATATCACTTGCAAAAAACCCTGGATATAGCGGAATAATTCTTCAGCTGTTTCTTTATGTCTTTTAAATATTTCCCTATATMCAAATTTTGAGACCAGTAACCGACCTTTTGCACTGATCCCATCGCTATTTACTGYTTAGTAATTTCCAAGACCCTAATCACCCAGTTGGCATTTTCAGACTCCTTGCAACGCCACCCAGATTTCTCTTGATTAGTAGTCTCTATTTCAGAGTGTGGCTTGTGTGCCTGTATACAAACACACGCTGGGCTATTTACAGAGCTGAGGTCAGGGCATACTGCAGGCAGCTCCAGCTCAGTTACCTGAACCTGTAAGGCTCTTCTGTAGCATTCTGGTGGCAGCTTTGAAGTCTGGTACTTTGAATAATTTTCCATTGCAGGTTCTCACTAATCTTAGAACAAACACCTTTGCCAGATTGTTTTTTTTTCTGGCAGATTCAATATGCATAGTACACTTAGTCTAAGATAATGAATTGATAAAAAAGCATAGGAAATGAATAAATAGGTGTAGAAAATCTAAAAAGGTGATACAGACCTCCATGGTTTCCAACAGCACAAAAAATGGGCCTTAAAAAAAACCCAAGGCTATAACAGTTTTGAAGCTTAATTTCTTCCCAAAGATATTTATAGACTAATTTACAAATTATCTTCAAAAATGTTCTCATAAAWTTTTTAGTGAGACCCAAATAAATATCTGAAAATGTAATTTGCTTCATGGAACATTGTTCTTGGTCCTACTTTGGTATTTTTCCTTTAGTTAGACATAGCAAATATTTAAAGAAACATTAGAAATATTCTGGACCAGCTGTTCTACTGATACAAAAACATGCAGCTTCCCTGATATAAACAGAGCCACAATAATTTATATGAGCTGTAGAAAATTCTCTTTCTAAATTCAGTTGCTGCCAGGCTGTTTTGAATAAAGAACTCTGTAAAATGTTAGATTATCCCAGACATGTTTAATACCAGTATCTCAGTTATGAGTATCTTGGAATATTTACTTAAAATATTCCAAGAAGACATCCCTAGAAAATATTTTGGAATAAATACATAATAAAGCCATAAATCCTGATGATCTACCACACAGGATTTTCTCAGAGGAAAGAGATGCAAGCAGTGCTTTTTTACTATTGGCAAGGCAGATGCAATAAAACAACTGCTAGTGAAGCATTTCATAAATTTGGTAATGGAGCCTTCACAAACACGTATGTTAATTAAGGCCCTAACAACAAGCAATTAACTTTGCATTTCCCATCGCTTTACCATTGCAGTCTGAGCAAACCTGTGACACCAGCCAAAGGGGAGCCCCTGGTAGGCGCTCTGGACCAGGCCTGCCTGCCTTCACCGCAGCGCAGGATGCGGCACAGCTGCTTGCAGCTAAGGAGAAGAGACTCCACGTGAGCAACGTTGCTTTTCCATCCCTTGCACAGCTGGGGAGCCAGATTACTGAGCTGAGCTCATACAGCCCCACCAGCGACTCCAAAAGAGCCCATGCCCATAGAGGGATCCATCCTAGAGGCATCTAGCCTGATTAGAGAGTTCRGGGCAGAGCAAGAAGGACAAACACTTTAGAAGCAAGGAAGACTGCGGGAATGGAGCTTGTCCAGTATAGAGAAGAGAGGGCTAACGGATGTTTGGACAACTGGCTCTGTATATACAAAGGTTAACTGCAGTGAGAAGGAAACTGTTCTCCATGGCAGTGGAGATCACGGAACAGCAGACATACACTGCTTCATAGGGAGAGCTCCCTTGGACTTTCAAGCAGGATGGCCGGTTAAAAACTGCTTAGTCTGCCTAAAAGAGGAGCCTGCAAAATCTACTTCTTCTAATTATTATTCCAAAGGAACAAGTGCCACACTACAGACAGCGATGGTCTACCCTGCTGGGGTAGAAGAGTGGTCTAAATGATCTGGTAATTTTAGCATGATGTTTCAGTGTAATAAATATTGACATCTCTATTTTTAAAGACTTGAATAAGCTATATGGAAAAACATGCCTGAAATTATTTGGAAGCAAACTTTCAACCACATACTTATGCTGAGACACCATTGGTTACACAAAAGCAATGTTTATTTCTAAAGTACCACAGAACAGAAATTTTAGAAAATAATATCCAACTATTTATATCATGGCCCTGATTTCTACATAATGTTCTGGTAGCTAAACAGAAGAGATTATCAGCAATCATTAGATATTTACTTTAGAGCAGCATTCTTCCTGTATTTCCTTTAAAATTTTCTGTGATTGGAAATGGTTAGAAGATAATGCTTTTATGTAAATCAGTAATTAAAAAAAACTTATAAAAAGTTTTAAAAAATACTTCACATCTTTTTGTGTATCAATACCGAAAAGAATATTTTGCAATATACATTTTATAGTAAAGTAAGACAGAATGGTGTAAGAAATCTTGCAAACATCAAAAGCATTACAAATTAAGAAATAAAATCCCTTTATCTGCCACTATAGCCAATGAATTGCAGTTTATGAGGAAGTGAGTTTAATACCTGATCACCAGAAAATCAGTTATTGTAAAATAAGTTATTGTAAAGTCAGTTAGCTTCATTTAACATAATCTCTTGATAAGCCCACTGTTCCAAGCAATGCAGAAACATGTATTTCAAGAGTTTTTTTCATGCCAAATGGAAACATGTAGCAATTGTTTTCTCTCTGTTTGCCTGTCACACGTTAGGGTAAGTTAGGGTAAGGTAAAGAATTTACCTTTCGAGAAATGTAATTTATTGCAGTATACCAATATTGTCTTTAGGATGGTTTCAGGAGCAGAAACAGAAATGTCCTACAAAACGTCCTAAGATGTAAGCTTCTTTACCAGTGATTTTATTTGAAAGTAGCACCATCTACCGGTCTAAATGACGCTTTCAAACTTTAGAAAAAGCTGTAGAGAGGGATCCAGCCAGAATGATGCAAAATGCTACTGTGAGCAACAGGTAGTTTTTCAGTCCCTGGATAACCAAAGGGAGAAAAAAAGAAAAAGATTATGTTGCTATAACAGATACCACTTCACAAAGAGGTRAAATGTAGAATTAAGAGTTAGATTTAAAATTCTATATATATTATTATAAAGACTTATGATTTTTATGATTATACTATGGCATTTTATGATTATACACCCATTATGTGAAATAGTAAGCTTTGTTTCATGTTATTTTTATACACTGCAAGTGTTCTTGTTTCGCAAAGCAGTTCAATATGAGTAATTCATGCAGCCATACATGTAGTAAAAAATATTCACAAAGTTTACTTTTGGTATTTGTAAAGGAATTTCATTCTATTTTGAGGCTATCCTTAAGTACTAAACACTCATGTCACGACTATGTTAAAAAATACAGAAGGGATGAAAGATRTGAGTCAAAGATTTGGAAAAGGAACATGATGGTTTTCTAGTGGACACAACATTCATCTGCAGTGGTAGAGACACAGCTTCTACTCTCTGCTCCAGTGATGTCCTGCATTTCACAGCATCACTACAAATACGAGGTAAGATAATCTACAGATTCACATTATGAGTCTAGGAATCCTGGACAGAGAAACTGAGGGAGCCTGAGGACTGCACTCCTAGTGTTTGATGCTGAAACTCCATGAGAAAAATAATTTGAACCATGTATATTAAYATGCAGGAGATTAGCCTGTTCTGCACCATCACTTATGGATCTTTTGGGARCCTCTGCATTACACAGTAACCAGCAGGGCTAATTAACCTCTGCCTTTCTTTTTGGTCCTTTGGTGACTTTGCCCCAAAATCTGTAATCCACTGGGCTGTGTGATTCTTGCAACTGCCTGACTCTTCTTGAGGGTAACAGTTCTTCCAACAACTCTTCTTGAGGGAAGCTCATTCCGCTACCCTCACTGAGAGAAGGAACTCAAACATACTGATTKTGGACTATCCTCTGCATCCTGCCTCCTGTCTCTCCTGACTGTCTTCACTGCCTCCCACTGCTGCRCATACACGTTGGGAATTCAGGCCTTCATTTCTGCAAAACTTCATCAAACAAGATTCTTTGTCTTTTTGGAAGGCTTGGTATGTCTTTTAGCTTCATTATCTAACACATGTAAGGAGGAGAAATCTCAGAGAATTAATTCTGCACCAAGTCATGATGTTCTTAAAGGGAGATTCAAGCAGAAGGAAGAGAATAGTGAGGTATCAGTGCATTACCTTGATTTCTTTGAATACAAGGACTCCCCACATTGCAGCAACAAGGCCAGGACCCTAAAAAATAAGATTCACTTGTGCATCACAGTATTTCCTTAAATTCTTCCATCTTCTCATTATGTTTTTCAGGTTTCATGAATTTTGCCTGAATGGCAAATTTAGACCTTTCTATTCTGTATAATTACAGGGCTCATCGCAAAAGTATGAAAATCACCAAAATCTTTATGAAAAAAAAATAATAAAATCTTCCGGGAGGATTAAAGAAGTGCAAGATGTTTTCAGAGAAGGCACAATTTCCTTCTAAATTAAACTGCAGTGGCTGTTATACATTCTTTCAGTAGTCTCCAAGCGACAAGCCTCACTTTAGTCCAAACTACAGACTTTCATCTGTTATTACATTTCAAAAGACTATTCAGGTGTCTTGGCAGCTACCATGACTCTGCCTAATATTTTATTATCATGACTAACCAGTTGGACAAAGTTTGCATTTATCACTCAGCGTGAAATCAAAAGACTGGAACATGAAACTATTTCCTAGATATCAGGCATCTGGACAAAATGCAAAGCCAGACAGAAAGGTCACAAAAACTACTGTTTATCAATGACGCTGTTTTAGAGATTTCCTAGCAGCAACAGAGTGATATACAGTGAAAATTTCCAGGCATTCCTGGAAATACTTTCCCCTGTGAAAGCAGTGATCTGAATTCCAGTGACTGATGGGAAAATATTATCACAGTATGACGTAAAAATTGGATGTTGGTGCTTCCCACTAAAATGGCTCTGGAGCTGCTCTCAGAAGCACATGCCAGATGTCTGAATAATAATCTTGCCCTCTCCATTGACAATATAGCTGATGGGACACAGATGGAGGTAGCAGGAGACAATGTCTTGTGTTGAAGGTGTTTGTGGGCTACTGTTTCTTAGTGGAAATGCCAATCTTTATTTATAAGGTAGCTTGGGTTTTACTTCACTTTCTCCATCATATATATTGCTAGAAGAACTTAAGTTCCCTTTTAAAAGTGAAGGAAATTGTTAAAGGAAGTGATGAATAGCTGTGTGAAATTCTCTGGATGAAGTAGAGCAGCAGTTCCCAAACTGTCGTCCAAATAGGCAGTTTCTCACCAGCACTGTCCTTACACTTTTCATTTTGTGTTTTCATATCCTTTCCCTGTGGACACACTAACAACCAAAGTTACTTAATCTGCTTTCCTTTAGTTCTTCAATTTCTAGTTAGAATGATCCTGAGTCTTTTTTTTACTGAGTTTATTCTGATTCATTGCATCTTGAGACAAAGCTTAATGCCTGTTAATGCTGTTTCATTAGTTTGCAGACAAAATATGTCYGTTCAGCAGAACTTTGTTTTTGACACTTAAGAGCTTTCATTTGCCAAAAGTTATCYGAAGCCAAAGCATCATCTATTAGACTGGCAAGCTACAGTACTAACAGGAAACTACTAGTGACAATTTACACAGCTTCTGTAAACGTACTGTGCCTTACAGGTATAACATCAGGAAAATTTATTATTCTTTCMTTTGAACAAGGTCATTATTTTCAGCAATACATAACTTTTTTAATAGGTTCAAGAACTGTGGTGAGAAAAATATGTGATTCAATTTAGCAAAATGAGTCTTAAAGGATGAAATTCACAAAGGGAGAAGGGCAGAGCAAAGTATCTGCTGAAAGGAAAATACTTACCTAGCTGGTCAGAGAATGTATACAATGTTTTCATCATCTGAATTCACTGACTATTTAATACTGTTACAGAGCTTGGCTTTTTACTTTAACCTAAACATCTATGCTTTCAGCTCCTGTGTTTTTACACTTAACATGGGCCAAGATGGTGCTTGTCAATCATATATGTTCCTATAAAAACAAAGGCTAAGACAGAAAAGCTAAATAAGAGGAAATGTATATTACAGAACAGCAAGCTCCAATTTTCAACTTTATCCCACAAATTGAAAAAGAAAGTCTTCAGTTCTAATGACAGATTTTCATATACTTACTGCGGTATTTTATATTTTATAAGCATATTTCATATACTTACTGCGGTAATTATTGGAAAGCTGACTACAGCACTGAGGTAGTGATTGGCCATGAACCAGCAGCAATTGGCTATTGCCCAAAGCACACCAGAAACAAACCCTAAAACAAAAGAATCCAGTCAAAAACATGTAGAAAGTATAGAAAGCAATTTGTGGAACACTTAGATTTACAGYCTAATACAGGAACTGAATATTTTAGTACGTTAACTACTTTGACAGTCTGTCTCTGACAATCTAAATCAAAACTTGAGGGATACAATCAGCTACTCTAGTTGAAGTAGCCAATTAATTAAAGTTCAGGGTTTTCTGGGCAATGTGTCCCCCACTCTGACAAAGCGTCAGTTTCAGAAGATCCACTGTATGCACTGCCACATTTCAGATTAGAACAAAATTTATCTTTGTTTCCTAACCTTAATTAATTAACCCGAATAAGAGTGCTCTTTCAAAACAGACAAAAAGTCAAATGAATAGACTTCCAAGGTTAAGTACAAATTTTGAACTAACCATAGCAAAATGGTCAGAAGAAGTAATTGGAAATTAATTGCTAATTAAACAAACAGTCATACCTGGCAGTATGGCCTGGGGATAAACGTGAGGTTTATTTTTTCTGACTGCACAGTAGGTCAAGAAGTATATGGTACTTGTAAGAAAAATGCCACTGAAGTGTGCAAAAACATAATCTAAATCTGAAAGAGAAATTACAAAACTAATCAGTCTAACTAACCACTTGTTATTAATTGTAACTAAATTGATTTCACTGATAATATTTCTGTTGACAAAAATACTGTTATGCTAGCAATTCAAAGTTTAASTGTGGTTGTGAGGAACAGAGCAGTCAGCCTGACTGTGCACACATCTGCCCATGATACATATGATATTAGAGCTGGACTGCCAACTTGACCCTAGCATTCACTGCAAGCTTTTATGCATCTCTGTGAGATTTTTTTTTGAAGTTTGTTAATGAAGCTACAATCCTCATTCGAGATTATAAAAACTCTGTTGCCCCCTTCTGACTACCTACAGCTACATTCCATACAAAGCCCTGTTTTTCCCTTTGTGCTGTACATTTAAAGGCAAGACTACTGTACATACAACACACACCCCGAAAGACACCGTTTTGTCATTTTTTCTCTTGAAGAACCTATTACAGTTTTGATCACATTAGCAATAATAAAGCCTTTACAGAACATATTTTGATATGTGCTAAAGATATAATATTTCCAACATGGTAAAGCAGCAGATGTAGCATGATTGCTACTGCAATGACAATAGACATTTTGTCTTGTATTTCTTCAGATATCTAAGTTGCTGTGTTTAAAAGACAAATTGCATATGACACAACAAATATTTTTATGGCTACGCAGTSCTCTCTGTATCATGCTGCTCTTAAGGAGCTGTTGGCACTAACAGATTGATTTACAGTAAACYATAAGGAAAATGCTTCTGGAGAATTGTTTGAAGAGCAGTGCTTGTAATAATACTGTTAAAGCTTACAAGCTCCATTAAAAGGTTTCCATTTCCAAACTGTAAGCTTTTAATTACTCAACTTGCTATATATTTCTTTCAGTCATGTTCAGCCACCTTCTATTCCTTTTTTGGTATGCTAATTTGGCCACTGCCATAGCTTGTGCCTTTGTTTATCACATGTTCAAGTCACATGAACTCAGTATTTTGAGAGTACTTGCTTTGTTTCCAAATTCATTACCACTGCATTTAATACTGTGAGTTAAGATTGGCATTTTCTGTTCTGTTTTCCATTGGTTTTCTAATGATACAATTCACCTCTGGGAAAATGAGTGCTATTAATATTATCACTACAACCAAGACAGTGTAGAACTGATTAGTTGTTTGTCACCACACATTTCTGAGTTTAAGTAYTTCATTCTGTGCCTTTACGAAAGCAAAGGCACAATGCAGTGATGAAGCAAAATAAAAATCATCTATTAGCATTTACCAAATTGACTTGCTCCTGTATATATAGTGCCATTTCTTCTTCCATGGTCCTTAATGTAAAGTACAGGTACAAAACTGGAACCATAGAGTATTCCAGAAACGACAGCCAGGCTACAACCTCTTTAAAAAGGATAAAAAAAATCAGATAGAAGAGCCTAGTGTTAATTAGTGACACAGAAAATGCACTTAACATAAATCCAGTACTATGGGTTATGGCTGTAAACTTTATGAAAGTTGCAAGCAATGCTGTAAAAATAATACATTTTAGCAGACTTTTACTTTGTACAGAAAAAATGGTTCAAAACAGTAGCTTAGTCATCCTAAACTATCTGGCCAAGAAATACAGACAATTCTTGYTCCAAGAGCCTGCAGTCTGAGTTAGTGACAAGAAAAAACAACTAACTAGGATTACTTAAAAGCCAAGCTGGTAGAAGTCCGATGAAAATATATTTAAAACACTCATCATTACATATTATAGATTAGTGCCTCCCACCTTCAATTTCACTGTTGTAGTCTTCATTTGCCTCATGACCATTCCCAGGATCACTGCCTCCTTGCTCCTCTTTTCCCTCTTCAGAAAACCATGTCCTTGGCTTTCTCTGTGCTCCATCCTGGCCCCAACTGTTTCCACCTGGTCCTTGGACCATTTTTGCTCCCTCACCATATTCACACCTAATTCAGCAGCACACATTATATCTGCATTATATCTGCACACATGTGGAACTCGTATCTGGAAGCGTGTTGCCAGCTTGGGCTCCTTTTACATTTGAAAGCTAATTAACCAGGTGATACAAACCAGCTCTGTAATTATGCACTTACTGTTTAATTTTACTCTGCAGATACTGTTCTTATATGACAGTAATTCATACTCTGACTTTATCAGTAAGATAAAGCACACTGAACAGTGAGAATTACCTAATTAGTCAAACAGCTATGCATACACACATATGCATACTGTACCAATATTTTAGAAACTGATATTTATTTGTTCATAACTTTTTTGTAGATTCAGTACAGGGCATAAATTCTGCTCTTGTTCTGTGGACAATCACCTTTTTGGCTACTTGGCCTACAGCAATAAAAGAACTGTTAATAACTTACATGACTCTCTTTCTTGTTGGAGACAGTCTGTTCACCCACGAGTCATCAGAATTATTTTCAGAAACATTAATAGACTGCAGAAAAACATAAGCTTTTATTCAAATCTTAAAAAAAAATCAGAAACATATTCAATTTAACAGTTTTCACTTAGAAAATTAAAAGTGGAAGGAGAAATGAAATAAATTTACAAAGCTGCCCTGAACAACAACAAAAATAGAAATATGTTTGGAAATGAAACAAACTATAGAAAAGGATCTACCTGCCTGAAGTTTAGTGTCTGTCTATGGACTTTGGGTTTGCTACAAAATAAAGCATCCATGAACATTTCTTTTTGTCTGAAAATGGGTCTGAATTTCAAAACCTGTCCTTCCTTAAATTTGATAAACAATTTCACCTATAGATTTCACTTGCAATTTGTGCTGACCTTTTGCTGTGCCATCACCTGCCATCAGAGTACTGGGACTATTTGCAAAAGGGATGTTACATCCCTGACCACAAAACAAAGACTTGGAATATCCCTGTGTCCAATTCTTTGTCTTTTGTGTTTTGTTATGGAACCTCTAAGGACCATTGAGCACCACCATACACCTCTGAGTGATGCTGTATTCACCTGGCAATTTAATTTTGGTAACTGATCTGCATTAGTAAGAGCAGGGATAGGGAATGGCGGTGGGAACGGACTGTTCTCCARCATTTGTTGCCTGCTTTGGACTCCCAAAGGAGTGATAGCCAGTCTGGAASCAGGCCCTCATCTCTAGCTGGTGCCACATCCAATGCTGAGAACCAGAGAACTTTAACAAGCACTTTGAGAATCTTGGCTCTGTAAGGTGGCAAAAAATCTGGTGGATAAGGGTTATGAACCCTGCTGCCTTTCATCTAAGCATTATCTTTCTTTATAGTTCAGTTTTAGTTCCAAAAAGAGTACAGGAAAAGACTGAGTATTTATATAATCTATGTCAAAATGAAAAAGGACTACTAAGCCATCCAAAGCTGACAGTAAAGAAAACAGGACAAAGCTTTTTTTATTTGTTAACATTTGACTAGATATACAAGATCCACAAAACAAATAAAAAACAGAAGTATTTATGCAGCTTTATGTAGTTTAGCACAAATTCTAACAAATCTGGTTAACATTAAGGGTTTTTTTTTGTTTGTTTTTAAACTGCTACCTATTTTCACTGCTGTAAAATAACAGCTCTAGAGTACTTACACTTTCTCTCAGTAATGGAGTTCTTTCTAATGAAACCGAAGAACTCTGCACTTCAGTTTTTACAAAAAAAAATATGATAGCACTGTGAAGAGAAACAAATCGCAAAAAATACCACAGGTCAGCTCATAAGGACATAATACTCAGCTTCCAGAAACAAAAGCTATTTGAAAGCATATTACTTATTTCATTTTCATTACTATCCCAGCATCTCTTCAATAAATCTTTAAAATGCAGCTGTTTTACAAAATCTTAAAACACACACACAAAGCAAGGAACTACAGKAGTCTTTGCATCACTTCATAGTTCTCTCTTCTATATAATGAGATTGAAATGTCGCTTTTTAATGATGTGCAGCTAGTCACRTGCTAACAACGCTGGCTTTAAGTCAGCAGTGCCCTTGTGCCAGGCCAGATACATACAGAAACATTTGCATGGAAATTCTACATGGAACTTCAAACCTGCACAGAATTGGACTGATGCTCACAAGGCAAGTTAGTTTGTGCCTTCTGCTATATGGAAGTCAGGCCTCCTGTGTATGTACAAAGAGAAAGTGCACTGCCCAGTGCAATGAGTRAATAAGGTGGAATAAGGAAGGGAAATGTTACTACTTATATCCCCAGCTTGGTGAAATCACGTAACTCCATGAAATCAGAAATGGCAGGTTTTTTTTTTTTTTTGACATTGTTTGTTTTGCTTCTTTTTAATGCAAGATATTTTATGATTGGGAAGCTGATTTACAGCTTCTCAGAGCTGTAAATACTGTCCCCATCAAGAGCGATTCATCTCCTACTGAAATGGAGAGACATAAGAAGATGTCAACTCCTCCAGAAGGACTAAGCAAATGCACAGGTCCCACACAGAAGGCTCAGATGAAATACACGCTGTGAGCTCTACAGGCGACACACACAGGTTTTGTGCAGTCTGCCAGGAAAATATTTCTGGTCAGGATCTTTTTCCTTGGTGACTGCTTTTCCATAGTATCTCAGAAGGAGGCAGGAAGCAGGTGGTGCACTGAATAAATCCATCAGGCAGGGATAGCAGCACTGCTACTATTTTGTGAATGCCTCACATAAGCATGAACTACACGTAAGGGTACAAAGGTTATCTGCTCTCAGGAAAAAGGATGAGTAGAAGCAAAATTCATGACGGGCTCCAYTGTCTATGTGACCATAACATCTCCTTTTCTCTACAGGCACTATGTGTATGGACCATTTGCCATGCTGATGGTAAGACTACTGTCCCCGGGATTTTGAGCTATACATCTCCTCCCAGAAAGACCTCACCAGCCACCCAACTGGAAAACATGGATGCTGCTACATAACAAAGACACTATTTCCTCAGGGTTCATCTCAAAATATGCACTCATACAAATAATATACAAATAAGCAGAGATGCCTCTRAAGTTCACACAGAAAATCCCTGCTTGGGAGTTCTTGGAAGTGTAGCTGAGCAGCTATAGGACAGGAAACTATAATGGGCAAGAGATAATGCAAAGTCTCAGGCTTCTGATGCTCCTAAAGAGATCTAAGAAGGGGTCCTATTCTACATTAGGAGGAGGGATTCGTACCACTAACTGAAGTGAGGTAGGAAATTTCACAGAGATTTTCTCCCCAGGATTTTTCTGAACATTTTACTGATAATTATTTTCCTCTTTCACAAGATTTAGGTAAAGTGAATTATATGAAACATCTAGTCAATAAGAAAGTAAATTTACCTCTGCTTCAYCTTGGACAGGCCTACCACCATAAAAATATATTTCCATGTTTATGAATACCCTTTTCAGAACTCTATTGGAAATGAGATTTGCTTCTTTTCTGGAATATAGAGCTGACCAGCTATATATGGATAGCTCATGATTTAGGTGGTAAATGAACTTGCAAAATGTACCTTATTTGCCCTCTGGTTGTCAATAGACTTTGTTATGCAATAGACGATATTTTGCATTATAGGAATGAATTATAACAGTATTTTTTTTTACCTCAACAACGAAAGTCCAGCTCCGATATAATTTAAAATGGGTCTTGATACTTCTTCTGGGTCAATTCCAAACCAACCAAACCTGAAATATTTAACTAGTTTCACTTAATTACACTGAACACATACRTGCACATAAATTAGAACTAAGTCCAGGAATTCTTCACTCATACAACTGATTCTACTCAGGTCCAGATTCGCAGTACTTCACTAGTGCTTTAGCTGGCTTGCAAAAAGATAGGTTTTCTTAAAATCAATCTCTAAACTAATTAAAATCAGCTTTTTTTTTAATTTGTGCAGTTAAATTATTTTATCAGTCTGGACGCTAGAGGAAAAAAATACAATGTACTAGTTTCCCATTAGCAAATAACATATTTATTATTCAACAATTTATGTTCATGAATATGAATGGGCATTTTTTTCCTACTGAGAAAAAGAAGAAACACAAAAAAGACAGAATAAAATAATTAGCCTAAGTATTTTTTCCTTAGGGGGAAAAGGATCTTTTGTGTATGATAAATGCTCCTTACTAGTGATAATATTTTCGCTTTAGTCACTAGTGAAGAAACAGCAACATTAAGAACATGAGTTAAGACGTATATGTGCTCACCTTGAACTTGCCCAGCCGGTTAACAAATTAAAGGAAGCCCATATCAAAAGACCAAGAGCCAAGCCAATAGTTTTAACAATAGGGACAACGGTAACATTGCCTGAAATACAAAATCCACATAATTAAGATCAGACGATTAAAAGACAGAATAATACATTAGACACAGACTTAATATCATCTTTTAAGATATTTTTGGTGTGAATTTTTGCTACCTACAAAAAGCTGAAAACACTAACCAGGGCCACCCAGCACTGGCAACATCATTACTCACCACACTTGCTATAAGGGTAAAGGTCTATTAATGCTGAGACTAAGAAGAACAAAGCACACCTTACATATAGAAAAGCTTTTATCACTCCTTATTTTCTTAATGAAGAATTAGGGTTACTTCGTGTTTCAAGGAGTAAAATCTTTTTCTGCYTACCTGTAGCCCACACAAAACCCCCAAGCATAGCCAGGGGCCAAAATCGGGGGCAGTTCTGGATGAGGTTGACCACCAAAGAAACCATCCATATAGACGCACATAGAATCCATTGGAAAAACATTCCTATAGAAAAATTAAACGTGTACAAATGGTTAAAAACAGAAAACTAGCATAATATCTCATATGTGAATCTCTTGCACCTTAACCTATTACTTTTTAGGTGAAATAATACAATAAAAATGAAATGTGGGCATCTCCTTTGCCAATTTCAGGGAATTAGTGTGTTACAACACATTTAAGGATATTTTCTAGAGTGGAATATTAAAAATCACACTTTTTCTTACTATGAATTTTCTGCATATAATCACAAAAGACACTTTGCTGGGCAACACTGCACAATCCCCAATTCTGAGATTTAGACAGGTTTCTGACAGAAAGAGTATTAAGTTACTGCCAACATCTCCCAGCCCAAGAGCACCCAGCACAGCTTCTGAGCAGGACAAAACCTGCTTGCTATTTTAATTTCCACTATTTGGCACATASGCTTTTTCACTATCTAAATAAATTGGAAATATCTGGGTACATCTCTTCTACCTTTGCAAATCCTCTAAGAGTCAACAGTTAACTTTAACAGTTAACTTTATAACTTTATGCCAGCTGAGCTAAGACTTGTTAGCATTGTTATTTCCAGCCAGTTTTGCAGTAACTGTTACAATAACACAATGCAAGATTTGTTAATCTAGGGATCTGGTAACTGATTATGTCTCTCATAAATGTGAAACTGAAACAGGAAGCCAGTACAGCAAAGTGATAAATTTCTAAATAGGAAATGGAAACAATTGTTTTCTCTCACTGAGTCAACAGATATAACTATGAAAACTTCAATTTCTGATTGCTTTTGTGTTATCTTATGTCTACAAAAGAAGGGCAATACTCCAATGTCCAACAATTTGTGCAGTGTAAATAATATTGTCAGTATATATTTTAGCATCCCCATAGAGGAAGAAGGACATTCCACTTTCCATTGTGAAATGCTTATGAAATGCAYATCACAACTGTTAAAAGTGCACAAAAACTTTTAAGAAGCCCATCTTAAAGTTTTGCCACATTGTTAAGAATATATTATTGCTTTATACTCTAACAGTAAAGAAAGACATGCTCCATGGATCAGGACTGCGACAGTATTTATAACTCTACTTACAGAAATTTCTTACCAGTAAAAAATATAAAGTAAATAAAAGTATAAACACTTTGTTTACCATCACCAGTATCAAATTTCTTAACAGGCACGAAGTTTGTCCCAAATAAAAGGACAGCTACCACAGAAGATGTAAAGCCAACAGCTAGATCTGTTCCATTACTGCTGTTAAAGGTGTTAGAAGCTTTCCAGACATTCATTTCTGTTTTGAAGCTGTCTCTYTTTGTTGTTTTACTGTGGGTGTTGATAAACTCTGTAATAAAAAAGTGCAATTAAAGATGTGGGCCACAACAATACTCATACAGTTTGGAAACAGATAACTTAATGAATACTGCATTTCTACCTCTCAGTAGCAAAGAAAAGTGGCAAAGTAAACTGCAGAATTGCATGAACAGCTGCCATAAAACTTGAATGAAGTGTAACTTGAGAAACACTCTCACACACACAAATTAGCTTTTGTGTATCATAAGCAAYTTGAAACTTGCAGCATGCAACTTGAACACATGCAGCAACATTAATAGTGAGATGCGCTCAAAGGGTATGAAGATTACAGTGTATGGGAAGCCCTGGAGATGCCCTATCATCACATTCCTAACTTCTGAACCAGAAAGGCCACATTAAAGGGKGTAAAAAAGCAAGGATTAGGCAATCAGATAAAATCTTCATTGATGGAAGGAGTTGCAGCAATGTGCAACCTCACTGCCTAGAAGTCCCGATCAGCTGCAGGGATTCCACAGAGGAACAATATCTAATTGATATAAAACATGAGTAAAGGGTCTTCTTTTTTTCAACGTGGGGAAGAGAAGAAGCTGCCTAAAGCTTCTTCCTTCCTAAAGAGAGATGAACMTTTTTTTCATTCCATAATGACAGTATTTTCATTGGACATTCATCTGGAGGTGCCAACAGAAGCAGTGCCATGTATATACTTTTGATATTGATCATGATGTTGATAGATGTCTCAGGATGTGTACTCTGAGAACACAATCATTGTAAACATTATCCTAATACCACCCCTAAAAATTATGTGCAAGGGAACTGTTTGGAATCTTAACTTCAAATGCTTGAAGTGCCTAAGCTCCTCTAAGCAGCATTCACTGTATCTAACACTCATCTGCAAAATATGCCTTGCCTGGGACGTGCAGACACCAAGCCACGCAAGCAGCAACGTCGGGATTCCTTCAAGGGCTGACCTCACAGGCTGAGCAACACTGCAACGCCGCAGGCACGGGCTCGGATGAATAAAGCCTGACATTCGCTATCTTCTTTCCATCAAACTTGTTGACTCGCTCAGTTAATACATTGGATTCCACCCGCGCACGAAAGGCAGTGGAGCTGGCTTTGGCACAGGAAGGACTTCACACTGCTGGGGCCATAGAATTAGAGCTGGTTGCACTGCAGATCTGTGAACATAGGACTCGGCTACTTAGCCTTTAATTAAATCATTATTTGGGTAAAATATTAGGAACTTTTGAGAGTAAAAATAGTTTTTCAGCCTTTTTTGGTCTTGTTAGTGTATAGAGAAATAATATTTTAAAATATCCTTGTATCTACTATAAGGAAACTGTGCTGCCGAGCAGGATAGTTTTCTGCTTGCTTTTTACCCTTTAAATTCCCTATGTWGCGCACAACTGGAGAGCTGGAATCCAAAAATACAAAAACCAAACTGCTAAACATCTGTGAAAGAATTTGGACTGATTAAAAGTCTCCATCTTTCCAATCTTTGGGGTATTTGGCCTTCAAAATTTGGTTTAATGTCAGGACAAACTTTCAACTCTGTTTCAACACTCCAAAACTCACCTGGACAAGACYTTGAGCAACCTCATCTAATTTTGCCCAAACCCCTGCTTTGTGCAGGCGATTGGCCTAGATGACATCTCAGTCTCCTACCATCCAAATTACTCCATGATTATAGGACCAAAACCAAGGCCTCATTAAAATCCCCCTTGGTGCTCCCTGATCCAGGGAACTGCCWGGCTGACTCGCCAGGAAGCCTCTCCCAAGCACCAAACCGGTGGCCCTTGCTAAAACTGCCCAAACACCAGGATGCAGCAGCAACCACAGTCATCATTTCACAGGCAATGTTGCTGGGGGGGCAGTCCCTTCGGTGCCGAAGAAATAGTATAAAATTATGTTGGCATATTTTGGATTTGTTCCACTAATTTCACTTGTTTTAACCGCATTACAAGGTCTTGTTTTRTGTTTTCGAGACCCCTGGGGAATATCCCACCGCTTTATTCCCCTGGGCAAGGAGGATGACAGATGAGGCTGTTTGCTTCAGGTGGCCACACGGCCTTGCTGCAATCCTGGCATGCAAGCACAACTCCCTCCAGTGCCTTCCCAAAACCTGGGACTCAGAACATTGCAAAACCCGGGGGAAACCGCTCACACTAATCGAGCAGGTAGTTCACAGCCTACTTGCCCTATTCCGACATGACTTGTATGCTTCTCCTGTAATCTATTTGCAGTTAAGCCGCGTATTTCCATTCTTACTTTAACAGATTCCTGCCGTTTATGTGTTGACCCCCGCCGCCAGGTCGCCAGGGCCCCCCAGCAGCCACCCTCCCCACGACACACGGGTTTGTGGCGGCAGACCCGGCCGCGCGCAGCGCAGCGCAGCGCCGCAGCCACCGCCGCCGCCCTCAGCCCCGCTCTCTCGCCATGGCGCCGCTGCCTCCGCGCCGTGCCTGCTCACGCGGCGCCTCTGCTTACTCACAGGCCCGTCCCCACCGCTCCGGCTCCCCGCTGGGGCTGCCTCGGCGGCCCGCCTCCCTCCCCGCCCCCGCCATGGCCGCCAGGGCGCCGCGCGTCCCCCTTCCTTCCTCCCCGCCCGCCCGCCGCCATTACTGCCCCGGGGCAGCGCGCGCGCTGTAATGGCGGCGCCGCGGGCGCGGAGACGTCATGGCGGCGGCCCCGGSGTGCCAGGGCGCTGGAGGCCGCCGCTGCTGGGGCCAAAGCAACCCCTTGGTGGTCGTGAAATATGTGGAAATAGGCGCTCGTGGTGTGAAACGACCCCCCTGCGCGGCCTAAACGGGATCTGATGAGATATTTTTATTTCATTCCATGTTTTAGCGGAGGTTCTGCTGCCTGTGCCTCGCACCAGTATCACACCTCACACCTCTCGTGCAGACTTGGCCATGCGAGGTCAGGAGGCAGAGGCGAGGTTTCCTGCTTGCCTCCTTGGCCCTGGCGGCAGCTGAGCTTTAAGATCGTTTGCAGTGCAAGAAGAGTTTTTTTTTTTTTTTTTTTTTTTTTTTTTTTTTTTTTTTTTTTTCCCTGTAAGGATTTGACCCAGACCAATGAAAGCCTAGACCATTAGTCAGCATGTTTAGTCATGAAGCAAACATTTCTGTCTACCCTTTCGGAGGACACTTTCCAGATGGCAGCTCAGATCCATCTCCTTGAAAACACAGCATGAGCCGTCAGAAATAATGTTTCGTATTTGGAAAATCAAATCTGTGTTATGGATAACACAGATAGCAATGATGCACAACTTTTCTCACGAGTAAGTCCTCAGGCCCTTAGACTCTGTAAAGCTAAGACTGTGTCATCCATCACTCATTTTAACATAAATGTCTGTACCTGTGGTATTTAGAGAGATGAACTGCAGAGGTCTCTATGGAAACAGTTTAGCTGTAGYGCATCCAAGGGAAACAACCAGCCTTACTATTCTGGATAGAGACATACTGGCTGTTTTATTGTATTAATAATAATATTGCCGTGTTGTTACAAATGCTTTGTATTCTGCATTTATTTCTTCAGATATGGTATTCATTACCCCCAAAGGCTGTACTTAATCTAGATTAAAGATGGCAGAGGAATACCTAGGATAGCTGTTGTAGGAAAGGATCATGAATAATGATTCAGATGAGATGGAAGAGGCTGTATTGGTAGGATTAAAAAGGATGAAAGAAGTAAAAAGCTGAAAATGAATTCAAATGGGAGGATTATTTATGTGTAAACTACATGAACTGTTTTTAAGAACCTGCAGATGAATTAATGAATCTTGGGAACTTCCAAAAAATGGGTTACTATAGTTCTTGCAGTTTCAGAAATTTGAAACTGGAGCAGAGAGTTTGAGTGACTGGAAGGTGCAGGTTTAGGCTGCCAGCACATGAGTCAGAAGGCAGGAGATTGTGGGTCCTGGTCACTGGCAGAGCGTACTCGTTTCCTGCAGGATGCTGCTCGTGCTGCCCACAGGTTGGCCACACTGTCAGAAGTTAAAACTAACAACAACAACAACAACAAAAAGAAGAAAATAATCACAAATGTGTAATTTGGCTATTCATTTACGTTTTCAAAGGTACATGAAAATACTTGTTAAATTTCTCTCTTCCCTCTACTGCTATTTTCCCATAACACTTTTGATATTCCTGTGCACCTAAATTTAGAAAGAGATAACACTGACCATGGAATATGGGTAGATAAAGAAGTGACAGGAGAAGAAATTGACTTTAATGGATGCAGATGGCAATATCACAAAAATAGTGTAGAGAAAAAAATAGAGACATTGCAGGCTAAATATAGGTAGGCAAAGTACAATAACCGAGGCTAGAATTTGTTCAGATAAGTAGCATTGTTCAGTCTATTCTTTCAAAAAGATTGCTCTGGAATTTTCTATGACCACAAAGAAAGTGCCCTTTCAGCTCAGCAATGCCCTCCACAACAGCTTCAGCCTTGTAATGATTTATAAGAGCGAGCACTGCCAACCTGAACAACAGACATTTTCTTTGTGTCCTCTGAAACACAAAGAAATGTTTGTTTTCCAGGCAAATCCATAGCCATTTCATCCGTGAATTATTCTGTGAAATACTAGTAAGGTTGTGAGCTGTATGTCACAAGAACCAAAAAAGGACTGTTTCTTGATATGTCTGCTTTTAAATATCCAAATATGAAAGTTCGAGGCAAACATCTCCTAAATTATCAGGATATTACATATACAGGATATTCCTGTTTTGTTCAGTTACAGCCACTTTCCATTCCAAAGACTTTAGCCGTACAACATTTAAAGCAGGAGTTATCCATTATCAACATACAAAATAAAGGGAATATTATTGTTTAATCACATTAAAACAAAACAAAAACAAAACAAAACAAAAAAAAACCCAAGAAAACTCACCAGTCAACACTCTGCATAAGCATATTTAAATTTCTAGAGTAAAAAAGAAATCATGAGCAAAAAGCATTACTCCAGGCCCTTTTGCACTCCCCTCCAAGTAATCTCTTAAAGATTTACAGAGGAAGATTGTATAGCTTACAAAATTTAGAAATGTTATAGCAAAAGGAACGGTTAGTTGCCTAAATTGGCTGAGTTTCAGCACTGCTTGATTGTAATGATGAGGTAATGGTATTGCCTACGCGGAAGAACTGCACATTGTAAAACAGCATAATAACTTATCTAAACCAAGTGACTCAGTGCCAATAGCAATATAAGGTAACAAAATAGATGTAATTCTAAGACATTCAAAAGTAGTACTGTGAAGTAAAAGCTTCTTGCTGGATTATTTTCTGTCAAAATCACTGCAAGTCAACACAGAATCCAGAAGGTGTAACTGAAAGATCTAGCTACATGGCATTATTTATCCTTAAAGGTGTGCGCGTATCTTAGGCATTTCAAAGATTTTCTGCACGCTTCTTTGTAAATATGTATGCAATTCTACTGTGAGCTTGTAGTATCTAATTACCCTTATTTTCTCTAATTTTAGCCATGCAATTTTGCTGATACTTTGTACCCTGTGATGTTACAGGAGGTAGTGCTCACTGTGAGCGATTTATAGTGCTCTGTTGGTCAGATGGGCTGGAAAGCTGATGCCTCTCACTTGTGATTGTTCCTCTTTTAGAGGGAGCCCCGAGAGTCTAAACTGATCACAAAATGTCCATCTCTAGCAACTCCTTTGGAGTGTAAAAACCAAGAGCTTTTTTAGTAACTGTAGCCACATATCTGCTGATATTATTGATACACTTCAATTAAAATTTGTTTGAATTAATTATTCTTGTTTGGTAGACATCCCATCAGTCAAATTTGAACTAGAAAAGAGGGAAGAGCTGTAGTGGTCAAAGAGTTTTCCCTGAGAAATCAGTTCTGGAAAAAAAGCAGGCAATAAGAAGGCCCCTTTCATGGTGGAGGGCAGGTTTCAGGGATTCTTAATGCTGCAGGACACATTTTAGACAAAGAGTGAAAAGTGATGACCAGTGGAAAAAAAATCCACCCTTATGAAAAACTCAAATTGGATCCTTCTGAAACATAAACCTTAGTTTATATTTATCACTTTAGTGATATATTTCCCTTGGTATTAATTATGGAAATGAGAGTTTCTCTGTTGGTTTGAATTACAGCAAACATGTACATTTTATTATTTCATGCTCGGAGTAGGCAAGGATTCAGCAGTGACAGCCTCGCCACTGTCTCACTGCTTAATCCTGTGCAGGCCCTCAGCATCTCCCTGCCTCAACTTTTCCATCTGCACAGTGACATGTTATGCCTCTCTTTGGAAAGCACAAAGAGAAAACGCACTCGGTTGTTGCTTAATAGCCTATTTCATAGGAGATTTTAAAAGCCACTGTCTGCTTTTTGTTTTTGACGCAAGAACATATGATTCTCAAATGCTATAAAATTCCAAGGGCCCTTTTTTTTTACTGTAGAAAACGGGAATTTCTTCAGTACGTTTGCATGCAGTGCACTAGAGGGCCCTCAGGAGTTAGAAATGGATGGAATGTGCTTTTAGAAGGCACATACTTCAGAGGACTTTTCATTACAGAATTTAAAATAGAAGTTCCTTTTTTTTTTCTTTTTATAACGTGTGGTTCATGTAAGTTTATTGCAGTTCGTATGCAAACAACCTCTCGGTACAGTTAGCCTCCTAACAGTATTCAGCTAGCAATGAAATAGCAAAAATGTGGACCATACTTCAAAATGCCATATGTGCTAGAATACTTGGGGAACGTCAGCTTTTACTAAGTTATTTGTGTTAGCCTAAGGAATTTACCAGAACAAAGAATGAGACAAGCTGAATAGGTAAGAGATTTTTTTCCTATAATAAGTATACAACGTGTACTTACTGTATTTTTGTTCCTTTGACAGGATGTACAAGTCACTACAATTTTATTTGAAAAACTACAGCCAGATCCTATTTTATGGCTTCACAAGTCTGTAAAGATTAACCATCTTTCACGTTTAATTTGGGCTTATGAAGTGTATGAACTGTATTCATTTTAAACCAGAGACATCTGGCACTGCTAATACTTTTTCTTTTTCTTTCTTTCTTTTTCAGTGTGTGAATATGTGCATATTAAACTGCTAAAGTTTCTGGTTAGTTAATAGTGTATAATTTACATCATTGATATATAACATGAGGTGTAGTGAGGGCTTTGCCTCATAAGAAAAAGGTGATGGTGATCTGGGCTTAACAAACTTTTCTTCTAATGTTGGAATACAAGTGAGATTGCCAATTAAATCTGCATTTCCTGAGGTTGGTATTTAATTAATACTGTAATTAGAAAGTGAAAGATGTATGCTAGCATGTCTGTAGATGCATTCTGGCTGTCTCAGCTAAAACTTCTCTGTGTCTCTTAAATWTTAGCTTCGCAGATGCTGTATTACTTATGTGAATAATGAAATGTTCCTACTGATTCTTTTCTTTTTGGCAGTTTCAAAGGGGAACTTCAGCTATTTTAGAGCACAAGTCAGTAAACTCTGCTTACGTAGTTGCCTCCATTCATTCTCTGAAGCCAATCACTTCCCCTGTGGCGGCTGATAAGAATTTAACAGCTTGCTGAGGTGGAGTGTCAGTATCCTTAGTACTAAACACATTCCCAGGCACATCAGTAGCCTCTGTCCATCACCCATGCTGGAAGCTGCTTGGAAAAGGAGAAGTAGAAATCGGGGAAGGGAAATCATGCATCATCATCCTGGCTGGAACGTACTGAAGACTTTATGCTTTTTTCATCATGTGGATTCGCTGGAGAAATGACCTTCTTTGATCAGCCAGGGAAAACCAAAAACTGGTTAATTTGCCCCCTGTGCCCACCACGAGTGCTGAGGCTCTGGACCTGCAGGCGCCTGAGGACAAGGAGGAATCTGCTTGTGGGCACAGCCTGCGTGATCTACCTGGGCTTCCTCGTCAGTCAAGTGGGGCACGTTTTGCCCCAGCACAAAGGAGGACCCTCGAAGAGCAGCTCCAGAAGTCTCCAGGATGTTGCCCAGACTCCTTTTCTGGGCATCCCACTGGATGGCACCCTCTCACCACCCAACTTCCAGGAGCCCCAGCTGGGTGGCAATGGCACCTCCGTGCCACCCAACGTGGTTTACATCACCCTGCGGTCCAAGCGCAGCAAGCCTGCCAACATCAGGGGCACCGTGAGGCCAAAGCGCAGGAAGAAGCATGCCGYCCCTCTGGCCTACGGGCAGCACTTCCCAAAAGCTGCTTTCCCTGGCCGGGAGGAGACCTTCGGCCAGCAACCAGGACGGGCCGCGCGTGCCGCGGGCACGGCGGGAGCAGCGCCCGCTCCAGGGACCGGGAGGTACCACCTGGATGAGCATAGGGATGCAGAAGTGGCCATCAGGGGGAGGGCTGGCAGGAGACCTTGGGGGGTTCCTGGAGGTGTGAAGGCACAGCCCCAGGCCCAGGAAAGCAATATCAGGATTTACAGCAAGAGCTCTCCCTCTTGGCTGAGCAAAGACGACATCCTAAGCATGCGCGTGCTGGCAGACGCTCCCATAGAGAGCATCCAAGAAGAACCTTCCCATAACGGAGTCCTGGTAGTATTTGGGAAGGGCTCCCACCCGCCAGGAGCCGCCTGCGATCACGGGCACTGCGGCGTCATCAAAAGACCCCTCGACATGAGCGAGGTGTTTGCCTTTCATTTGGATAGGATCTTGGGGCTAAACAGGAGCCTGCCCTCGGTAAGCAGGAAATCGGAGTTCTTCYCAGGTAACGCATTCCTGTGATTTTCAGCTTCCAGGTGGGGTGCTGAGCTTTCCCTCCCCTTCCACATTAGCAGTGGGACAGCAGCAGGCTTTTAACTCCTGCTAGGCTGAGAACTAATCCTCTTGTTACAGAGGAGTAAAGCCGATGGCTGTACATAACTTACGCAGGGCTATTGTCCAGTGCAAAGGGATGCAACACCCTGGAGCTTACTCAGTAGGAAAACGGAATTGCTGAGAGCAATAACAATTTGCTCTCCATAAAAGACTGGAGTGAGAGAAAAAAAAATAAAGACAAATAAAAAAAAATGTCTTGGACAAATTTCACATAATTCATATTTCTATATATTCATCTCTGTGGAATAAATGGTAGGAAAGAAGTTTTGTATGTAGCCAGCCTGCTGTGAGAGATAAGGGAAGTTTTGAAGCAGGTTAATGCAGCTCCAGGGGCACGAATACCCCTGGGAACTGAAACATAGAAAAAGGTCATCCCTCTCCCCTCATAATTTAAAAAGTTTCCTGTATCTCATTGAATCCTGCTTGACATTTTGAGATGTGTTACACATCTCATCTGCACACATTTATATTGTGTAGACAGAAATAATACACAATAGACATTGGAATATTCTTGTAGCATGACTCACGTAAACAGATTTCAATTAAAAGCTTGATATTTTTTGTCCTAAGCTGAAATTAAAGATAGATTTTAGACATACAGTGTGAGATAGAAATAACCCTACTTTTAACATTGCTATCTTGTTGAACATGTCTTCAGCCTTTTATTTTTATATGTCACAATTCCCAATCCAAAAGGTCTACATTGTCTTTTAATGAATCACTGCTAAAGTGGGTAGCTATCTGTTTTTGCTGTGCATTTGTCGCTGCTGAAATTAGCTTATACAAAATATTTTTAATATTAGTCTGCATTTCTTCAAACAAAGGGGTAAAGCAGGAATGCCTTTCTAAAATGGGACAGCCGGAAGAGGACCTCATGACCTCTGATTTGGTCCTGCCTTGCAAACCTTCCCTTTGGCAGCCTGCACAGCAACGTGAACGAATCTCTAGGAACAAGAGTCCGGTGGCTTTTGAGTATTGTTAATACTCGCATGGAGCATGGAAGATGCACAGCTCATTTTTAGGAACAGGCTGAGGAGCTGTCAGGAGCACTCGAGGCAGCTCAGTGAGAGGAGCTCTCAGTGTGGCTGGCARATGCCAGGCTGCGAGCTCAATGTTGCACTGAGGCAGCAACTGCGCCTTGGGCTGCCCGCTGTCACTCACCCCTCAGCACGTTTTGAGCTCTCTGGGGCAGAGGGAGGGTCATTCTGCTCTCTTTAATTCTCTTTTCCTCATAACTGGTCATGTTCCTATAGCAAAAAGCGTGTTGCTAGGTGATGGGGAGGGAAATAACATTCCTTATTTCGGTCTCGTTTCATTTTTTCCAGCTAAAGGGTGAGCAGAGGATTTGGAGCAGTTACTGTACCTTATCTCTCCCCACTCCTCATTTAGCCTGGAAACATGTGGGAGCTCATAGGCCTCCTATCTAGTTGAGCTCATTAACATTTGCATGCTTTTATTTGGCATAATCTCTTAAATGAACTATACATTTTAATAGAAAGCATCTTTGTGAAAATGAACAAAAATATATCCTTAAAATCAATGTGAACAGTGAACAAATCCATCTCTATAACACGCATTCAAGTTTAGATGGGCACTCCAAATGTTTTTACAGGGCTGCTCGTGTGAATCATGATTTTCATATGGGAAAGAAAACAATCCGGGCGTAGGGGCAGTGCCTGTGTATGTGCACAGCTCCTGGGCTGACGCATCTCTCTCCGTGACACATCCCTTTAGCTTGCCTCAGTGGTGATGTGATAGAATGAGACAGGTTTGATGTAGCATTAAAATCTTAAAAAATGGGCTTCTCAAAACTGTCACTTGTTTTGTCGAAAGCACTTTCAAAGAAGCACTTAGTAAATCCCTGTACAGATTTGGCTTCCTTTATTCCCACAATTCCCCTACTGATTTTTTTTTTAAAGGTGGACACAATATTGGATGCCAGTGGCACTGTGTCTACTGGCATTCTCTAGTTAATGGTAAACCCTTTGCAGTGTTAACTTGTCTACTGCACATGGGCAGGAAAATCTGGCAGGATAATTGTTTTGCTCATTTTTATGACCGATTGGACAAATGTAAGAAACCTGGGGAACACAAATGGGTGAAGCCTTTTTTTTTTTGAATTTCATGTTACAAACTAAGAAACTGTGATTCCGAGTACATGCAAGTAGATATTAATTACTAGCAATGCTAAATGCAAAAATGCCCTGTAAGAGCTAAGAACAAACAAGTCTTGTAGGATCATTACTTGAACKTCCAAACCTAAGATACCAAAGAGATTCACTTAAATAACCGTGTTTGGGGTCAGTGCTTGAAAGCACAGCCTGATCTTAGTGAGTTTGCACAGAAGCCAAGTAAAACAGCTGCACAGGTTGCCTGCAGGCAGCACCAGCGTCTGCAGAGCAGGAGGATGTCAATGCTTCCCAAACTGCTTTGGGAGAGAGGGACATCGGCTCTTCGGCCCCTAGGGCCATGGCCAAGCTCAGCACAAACCTAGGGCCAAGCTCAGCGCAAACCTAGGGCCAAGCTCAGCACAAAGCTACTGCCAGCCTAGACCTCTTGCCCAGGGCCTGAGCTACCCACGTGGTGCCCAGCGCCCCAGCTCTGCAGCCTGCAGACCTGGGCTAAGCGTGGGCGATCCTGTGCTGGGAGGAATAAGCACAGCTGAACTCCAGTTCAGTGGGCTTTTTTAGCTGAACGTGGAAAAACAATGTTTGCTTAGAATGGCTTTTATTTTAAAATGTGCAAGAAATTACTCATTTGAGTAACACCCACCATGGTTAGCATTGTGCAAGTACATGAAAGGCCCAGCTGTGACAGATGGCTCTATTGATCATACCTGTCATTTTGCTTTGCTGGGCTCTAAATGATGATAAATGGAACCACAGATTTTTCTGTTACAGCTGCAGTCTTGGCTGCAGCCATGTTTTRTTATGTATAATTCTCCATCTTCCATGATCTTTATACCAATCCCTCTCATCCTACCAAAGTTATCCCCTACCAGACTAAGTTACCCCTTATACTAACGTGCACAAAATATATATTTATTTCTAGTATGGCAGTGGTAAACTATGTTGCATTACAGCAAGATGACAAGCTTGAGAACACTTTAAATATCATTTGAATTTTTTTTTTGACATTTTCATGAACTGAGATTTTTGAAGACATTTTTCTTGTGAGAAAGTTAGAGAAAATGTTTTAGATGTGCAAGAGTAACATTTGCAAGAGCATCAGCACAGTTAAGAAGTACAGCCCATCCACTGTGGAATGGGGATGTCTTAAGTGATGCCTCTGAGGAAGCAGCTCTGCAGTGACACGTTAACTGTGAGCGCAGCAGCAGACCAGGGTTAGTAGAGAGGCACAGCGGGATACACTGGACTCTGGGACACAGGGACACACTGGAGTGACTCCCAAAGGTGCTGAACTGCCTCCATCTCTGATTCATGGTTGGGCTGAACTTTTCTCTGCTCAGTGAACATCAGCTCTGTCCTCAGGAGGTTTAAATCAGAACTTCACTGACTTCAGTGAGGTAAAGCCAATGCATGCAGCTGTTAGTCAACCCCCTTATCTGTTTTCATTCAGTATCTTCATGTTTTTCCTGAAAGTGTCAGCAGTTTGAGTTACTGCTTTTTATTGAAGCTCCTGTTCCATATTCCTGTAGTTCAGTTTATGTTACAAAGTTAAAAGGTTTTGTTCTGGCTCATCTTTTTTGCTCCCATTTCCTGTGAATCACAAACACATCCTGTATTTAGCCCTGGTATTTTAAAAATCTCTCTTTTTTTTTTTTTTTTTTTTTCTTACTGGAAACTGGCAAGGTATTGTTCATATTTTTCAAGTATTTAAAATACTATTGTTTATTGTGTCTCTGGGGTAGACAAGAGATGTTGTTTTGCTGGAAGACTGTTAATGTATTTGGTTTGTGGAAAAGTACAGAAATACTTGTATAAGCTGTTATTAGGGATATGAAAATAGATGAGCTTGGGTTCTGAAGAGAAATGTTCCTTTTTTTTTTTTGGTGAAATTTCATAATTATGCTTATATAGACTTAGTCCAAGCAGTTTGGAGAAGCATCATAGTGAGTAGCTAAACTGACTTGGCCAAAGTCAGTATCAGTGATGAAACCAGTCGGGATGAGAGATTCCAGAGATGTGGAAAGGGCCAGGGTTTCCCAAGGTAGATTCCTAAGTCCAGATTCAGGTATCTCAGTAAGAGGCTTGATTTGGGATGTTCAGCATTTTTTAGCAGAGGAAAGAAGGTGATGCAAGGTGCTGATAAAGGTAGTACAGATGATCATAATGCTATATATAATTTTATATATGTATATACACACACACACAGAAATATATATATACACACACACATACACACAAAAAGAGGGCCATTCCCAATAGAAATTGCTATTCTGCTTGTCAGTGTGTGAGGTTCATCAGGCTTTGTTGTCAGAACAAGACTGATGGTCACATATGATTCACTGATAGTTATGAGGAAAGATCATTCCTTACCTTTGCCGATCAGTCGACATCCTTTGAACAGGCTGACTTGATTCAGGTGTGTAGAGACTGATTTTTAACAGAGCATGCACATTAGCACCCTTTCACTTGCCTCGCTGTTGGTCACCAGTCATCGTTTTCTGCAGCCTTCTCTGAGCTTTTATACAGAGGAGGTATTTCCTCCTCTGTATACCAATGCATCTTTTTGGGGGTTCTATCTGCATTCTTAAAAAGAGAATTATTTTCTTTTAAAGTACAAGAAACAGTCAGTCCAGGATAGTAAGGCAGCAATAGATGTGCTGCAATAGCAGTGAAAAGGACAATTCCACTTCCCTAAGTAGATACATAATGCCTATTATTTGATATTAGGTGAAATATATTTATTAGTTCTTACATAGGAAAAGCTTATGTTAAGCTTTTGCAGAAGCTTTTTATTCCACTCTATTAAAAAAGTTCAGACTCCAAATACTTGAATTTACCAAAGCTAAGGTGCTTAACGGTTGCAGGTTAGAGTAGAATATTATTTATACAGACTTAAAGAACTGGTCCAAAATATCTGCTACATAAAACAGATATCACATGTATTATAGCTGAGTAATATAAAAATACATGCCTAGGTGTTTATTAATGCTATGCTCACTCTCCAGCATTCTCATATATCACCTCTGAGCTGTGAAATCATACATTATAGSCCTAAAATACAAAGGATGACAAAATAAATCCACTTTTAATATAGGATTTGTAGTCATTCTTTGCCACACAGAGGAAGATCTTTGAGCCAAGTTTTCAGCTCTCGTAAACCATCGTCAGTTCACAGGAATCACGGAACTGTTACAGCACTTATTTACAGGCTCTTAATCTACCTACAAAATTTTTAATAGTTTGGTTTAGTATATGATTTTATGTGATCCATTCCTTATTTCAAACAGAAAAAGCTTCTGTACACTGAGTTCATTCAGAATGTCTGTTTTTTCCATTCCTGTGGTGACTGATTTTAGATGTGGAAAAAAACCACGTTAACCAAAGGATGTCAAATCATTAAGCACTGGTATTTTTTATACCACATCTGTAAAGCATCTGTAAAACGCTATAATTGTGGATGTATAGAGAATGATCATGACTTATTCCAACATGAATAGTAATGATTCTATTTTTGTCTTTTTCTCAGACAGTCAAGCCTGCCCTGTTATTCTCTGGGATCCCACACTGAGTCCAACAGATAATTTTACCCATTCTTCAGTGAGATTAACGTGGGGGAGATATCAGCAGCTATTGAAGCAGAAATGCTGGCAGAATGGTAAAATACCCAAAGCTGAATGGGGCTGTACTGAAATCCATCATCATGAGTGGTCCAAGATGGCACTCTTTGATTTTCTTCTGCAGGTAAAATATTCACTGAATACAAATATCACCCCCGAAAGAGTCATTTTGAGCAGAAACAGGATTTTTAGAAAAGTTAATTTCCTTTTTCTATTAATTGGGGAAAACAGGCATTTACCCAGTTTGAGCTTTTTTCTTATGGTTTCTTAATTTTCAAGAACTTAAAAACTCAACTTGTACTTAAGGAAAAGCGACAGGATCTTGACAGTCTCATTTTCTAAGAAAAAGCAAAGGCTTTTAGGTCAAGTTACGTTTACTGTACCTTTGAAGTGGGCATGCTCTTCTAGTGCTTATAGTCTCAATTATATTTGTAACCATAAGACATTATTTTYGGTGCCTCCCCACCTACCTCCCCAGTGTAATTTCTTGARTGAGAAAGGGTTTGTACATTTGTTTTTGGTCAATTGAAAAGTGTAAACAGAGAGCAATTATACTAGTCATGTTTTATTCTATTTAAAAACTTGACAAGTGCCCTAAACTTTTGATTTACTATGAGGAAAGAGCAAAGCAGTAACTAATGAATAACATGGCTGCTCTTTCTCAATTAGGTACTGGGCATAATCATTAGCTCTCCAGATAGCACCAAACTAGGGCATCCTAGTCGTGTCCTATGTGACCAGAGCTACCAGAATTGTGAAGGGCATTAACACAYTGCCTGAATTAATAAGGAATGAGCCCACTCCCTGACTGGATGTTAATATTATGCCTTTGGGTTATCACATTACTTCAATTTGTCCCTGCCTGGCAGAGAGATCTGGGTAACTGAGCCTCCTGCAGCAGATACTACTGCACGTAGCGATGTTTGTTTTAAAAAGTACAATGATTATTTATATGCACTCTTTTTGATTGTTCATGTAATTCAAATTTTTATGAAGTTACTTATCTTGAGACAGGAAAACCATGGCTTTGCTTATTCATAGTCTGTGTCCCCTTTTCCCCACACTTCTCAATTCTGTAACAGGATGAATGGATGTTTCCATTTTTTGGAGTTCTACTTTTGCAGACTTGTTAAATATAGAACATGAAATTCTATTCCAAAAATAGATTGTCACTTGTTTAATGACTCCATCTCTAGTCTCACTATGAGTGAGTAACTTTTGGAATCTGATATAAAGTCATATGTGAGCTATAAAGATGCTAAACATAGTAATGCTCCTATAAGAACAGTAGGGAATATGTCCAATTTAAAAATATTTCCATGTCATTGTTTTCTTGTTTAACAGCTTAAAAAGTTTCATGAGCTCTGGACTGGTTTCTACTTTTAAGGTCTCCATGAAAAGTTTTTAAACATCATAGAACTCCTATTAGAGTTCTCGAGTTCAGAAGGAGAGATAAGGAGAGATCAGTTATAAAATAACAGAATTGGACAATGCATTTAAAAAAAAAAATCTTGAAAAATATCCAGTATCCCAGAGTATTTTACACTAAGCAATTGCCAGGTAAGAAATTGTATCAAAAAGTGAGCAAGTTTAATCTTTCTCCAAGATTAARCATTTATCTGGCTGCCCTCAGACCCTACTGTTGGGTTTATTAACTGAACCTGAAAGCAATAGCAATTAAAAATGCCAAGAATGRTTTCAGGGTTAAAAATGCCAAAGCTGGAGTCTATAACACTGATAAACTCATCAGTATTCTAGTACTTTTATGTATCAATTCATTAAGAAGCTTTGGTTACTTAGCAACTAACTAAATGTCTTGCAAATACTGCCCTTGAATACAAATATTTGGCTCATCACACCACCAGGTATTTGACTTTCAATGAAAGCCCATCATATTGATTATTTTGAGGGAAAGGTGGGGGCATGACTTTAATTAAAGATGTTTGCCCATCTATAGTTTTTGCAAATTGATATGTATGCCTCTACATTGGAAAAGACTGAAGCCTACTCACAGCTCCTTGTTTATGTTTGTGTATGTGGATGTATATACATTTACGTACATAAAAATCGAAGTACCTTTAATTAAGAGATTGTTCCAAAAGCTCCTTCCCTACAGTATCCTGTTCAGAGTCTGCAGAGATCATTCAAACAGGGACAGCACTTGTGGAATCCTCCTGGACAGAATCAGAAGAAAATTACTATTTGCAAAGTGATTTAATAAAAATAAATCATCACAGAAACACATTCCCACTTTCTTTTTCTTCTCTTCATGTGAGATGATTTCATTTKAGATCAATCAGAATGAATGAAGCAGTCAAAATATAGTGAATTTAGAAAATGGTAACTGACATATATAAGAACTGATTCATGAAGCAAGATTAAAATGAATGTGTAACATGCCTAAGCAGTGCCTATGTTGCAGAGATACAGTAACAGGCTTAAGTTTTCTGAGTATGAACATCAAGAAGGCAGAGCAAATATTCATATTGATTAAAAAGGACATCAGTGAGAATAACATTTTGAAGTTGTTCTTAAAGAAACAAACAAACAAACCAGAGAGGATATCAAGACAATATCTTTGCAGTGTGAAGTGTGTTCTGGTAAAGCATGCAACATTATTCTTCTGAGAAAATCTGCTTCATGAATCATCTGGAAATATAGAGCAATGGTTTAAAAAAAAAAAAAAAAAAAAAAAAAAAGAAATCTGTATTAAACATGCTCTTGTCAAAACGGTAGCTTAAGGGCTGTTAATAGATGTTCCCAATTTCTAATTTTAAATACTCAAACATAGGATTAGTCTGAAAAGTGCTTAGAGTTGACCTTCACTTGCCATGTACAAGAACTCAGGTAAAATCAGGTCATAAGCAAAATGGTGTCTTTAGTTAATTTAGTTTTGGATCTCTTATATACATAAATATATGACATAAAATCAACKGTAAACCATTAGGTTTGCAACGTAAGGATTAACTATTAGAATAGGCTAGAATTAATATTGTAATGATGCAAGATATTGTAAAATGCTATCTTGAAGAACATGATCTCATCTACTTCATGCRTGTAGTAAAGTGTGGTGAGGGTAAATTAAGACTATATGTTTGAAGTAACCTATTTGGATGGCCAAGAAGGATTAAAAAATAAAAGTCATCCACTAGCTGCTCATTAGGCTTTAGCCCTTACCTTCATAAACACCTGCCAGCAGGCAGCAAGAGCAGGCTGCTCCCAAAGGAGAGGCCACCCAGGAGCTAAGGGTGCCCACACTGCCTGGCCACAGCGCCCCAGCGCTTGGGCAAGYGGAGCCCAAGAGCCACAGAGCAGGGTGGTGACAGCAACGGATCCCACCCATGGTCCAGCAAACACCACCAGGGGCCCAGTGYGCAAGGACCAATTAATAGGTCAGGCCCAATGCCGAGCCAGGCAACMCAAACAGCAATTCCAGACCAGCAAGTGACAAGACAAGAAGCAGCCCTGCTCCCAGCACAGCTCAGGCCAGGCCTAAGGGGCCAGGCCTGAGCTTAAATGGTGCCCTGGCCCATGGGCGGTGGGTGTGTGAGCAAGGGACCAGGTGAGGCTGTTCAGAGCCATTAAGGCCTTAGGGGCCTGGCCTTCTCAGGCATCTACTCTCAACTAGTCAATATCAGGCCTTTCAAAGAGTGACTTATCCTTCCTAATTTAGACAAATATCCTAAAATAGTGTCCCCAGCTCTGGAAGTGCCTATTTCTTGCCATTGTTGATGAACGGAATATAAATGACTATGTCGGAAGAGCTGCTTAACACTGCTAAAGTTAGACCCAATATACTCCTTCCTAACTGAGTACAGTGCAATGAATAAGCAAAGGTTCACGTGGGTAACAATAGACTAGACCACAATGTCTAGACTGGATAAAGTATATAAAGTATACAGCCCAGGGCAACTTTTTGTAGCTTCTAGTGCTTTATTGTGTCCCTTACTAATCTTTTCAATTAGTTCTTTTTGTGTATTATTCACCAAATAGAGTCCACAAAATGGAGATCCTTCATGCGCATTAGACTGTGCTGTTTCTATTGTGCCAGAGCAGAAAACCTCTAAAAGCTACAGCCTTTTGAAAAACCTTGAACTGTATCCAYCACCTTGTTAGTCCAGTCATGGCTCTAAAACAGATACAATTATGCGGTCTGGGGAATTGCTTCTCATCGTATGTGAAGCATGGGGACCATGTCTTTATCTCCATTTCACTGCTGACTTAGTTTTAATTGTGCTGAGCTTGTTTTCCTGGCAGCTATATTAGTTAGAGATGCCTTTAGTGACACTTTGTTGCAAGTTTTATTGTTTTAATATTGTTTTAATTTGGCGTTCTGCGGTACTTGGTTTCAGATCTATAATCGACTGGACAGGAATTGCTGTGGATTCAGACCTCTCAAGGAAGATTTCTGCATGCAGCAAGGACTGAAGCTGAAGTGTAATGACCAAGATGCTATTGAGCTGATGCACATAGTTCAGAGAAGGCATGACCAAAAGCACTTGGCTTTTATAGGCAATAAGGGTTTCTTTGACAGAAATGAGGACAATCTAGACTTCAAAATACTACAAGGAATCAATGAGTAAGTTTAAAGTTATTAACTTTGTTTTTAAAAAAAGKTTTTTTTTTCTCAATTTTTTTCACTTAAAAGCAAAACCTCTTCTTAACATTTAGAAGGAATAACGCATGAAGGTGCCTAGGTTCTAGGAGAAGGGGGAAGAAGATGGTCCTTCTCYCTAAGCTGCTTAAAAAGGATTATTATATTGTCAGTATTGCATTAGCTCCATTTTTTTCCTCCTACTCTTTTTGTATGGTGGCTTTAATTAGCAAGTAAACCTCACCTCCTTTTACTCTAAACACACTTTTAATATATTACTACTAGCATCCACAAGTTTTCAGGGCATTACAGAACTCCAGAAACTCTGGAGCTCTCCTGAAATTACAGAAATCTCTTCTGAAATCATTTTGCACTACTTTAAATTATCGAACTATAATCTAACAGCATGGGATGTTAAGTTACTGGAATACATAACAACAGCCAAAGCCTCATTTTGTGAAATACTTCYAGCGGATGTGTCTAAAAATATATGATTAATCTCACTGATGTAAAAGAGACAGTTGGCCTGCGTATGGTCAGGCCGGCAWCCAGCTGCTTTGCTGAGTCACCCTCTATATTCATGGAATTGATTGCAAGACCACAACATAAATATTGCAATTCAGAGTGATGACAAAGCTGATGAATTTCTTTGTGCTTTTCCAGATTCCCTGAATCTGCAGTTTCAGTGCTGAGGAGCCAGCGTTTACGTGAGAAGTTGCTTCAGTCTTTGTTCCTTGACAGAGTGTATTGGGAAAGCCAAGGAGGCAGGAAGGGAATTGAAAAGCTTATTGATGTAATAGAAAGGAGGTCCAGAATTCTTCTAACTTATATAAATGCACATGGAGCCAAAGTATTACCCATGAACGAATGAAGTACCCTTGTTTTAAACTGAAAGATAGTCTTCCTAAATATTTTGAGTACAAGTTGTTTTGATGAGTAGATGGATCGTCTGGTATTTTTCATCTATTGATTGCCCAGATTTTATTCACAGAATCATCCTTTAGTTCAAAGAGCTTGTGTAGGAATTCAGCTTTAGCTTTGTGTGAATATGCTGCTAAGTGTACACATATTTTGATTTTGTGAAATTCTTRACACTCATTTTCTAAAACATTATGGAAAAATAGATATAATAGGGATGTCATAAAAAATAAAACAGAAAATTTTTGTACTGTTTGCTCAACTCTAGCCAGCAATTTATATTCTCCATTTCCATGAAGATTAACCACTGTGTGATGATTCTTGCTGATGACTCGCTCCAAGTTATTCCCATAAATAATTTGTTAGAAAACCTTTGCATAAGCACTTTGGATTCTCATCCTTGATCTGAGACAGTGTAACTAAAAGTATTGTATAGTATCCAGTGATACAGCCTGCTATGCCTGATATGCCTTTTATCTGCCTGTTTAAAAACATTCTTATTATCTGTAATTTTTTTTTTTTCAGATAATGGTAAAAGTTATACACTTTCATAGCTACTCCTGTCCTTATGTAGAGTAACAAAATATATGATGTATACATTTAAAATATTTTTGTAAGTGCTTGTGTAATATGATTGCTTCTTGTTAAAAGAAACTGAARTGTTTTATGTCTGTGTTAATGGGGATGTTTAATGTCTTAAATAACTAGAATTCCTTTGCAGATAAAACAGATTCTCATTCTTAGTATATGAATGACTGATAGTAATAATTGTGTTACTAGAAGCAATAGATAGAATATGGAGAGGTAAAGATACTTAATAAAGTTGCAAGGGCTTTCCCATCTAGATCATCTTTTATTTTACTCTGTCGGTAGAGGCAAGATTCAYTGTCTTTTTAAAAACTTTTTTAAAGAAATTCTGGACCTTATTGCCTTGGGAATGTCATGGACTTTTTGATAAGACTGAAGTAAAATTTTACAGGATTTAGATATCATCCCTTTGTTTAAATGTTGCAGCCTACTAGCCAGGTAATTTGTAGCATGGAAACAAAAATGGTACTGTAGTTCACACTGGGACCAGAACCTAGCAAAAGAAGTATGTTCTGGAGCCACTTCACATAGAAATTTCCTGTTATATTTAACATAAATTCCACTCTTTGGTGACTGTAATGACTAATTTCTCCGATTTTCTAGCCTATCTCAGTTTTCTTCCTGCTAAGTAGCTGTTTGATTGGATTACATGTGCCAGGAGATAAGGGCCAAATTTTCAGCTGCTCTGATCATAGACAGGACTGAAACTGCAACAGTCTATCTGATCATTGAAAAAGCCTTTTGAGAACTCTGTCTTCTAGGTTATCCTCTGCTGTCTCTACACATCTCATTCTGGTGTCCAGTCATCTGGCTCATATTGCGCAAATATTAGCAGCCTTGACCCATAGACATCATAACAGCCCAAGAACAGAAGAAATTAGAAACCAAGATATTTTTGGGTTAACTCTTCCTTTTCTGTGGTGATAACTTGATGCATTAGTCTCCTAATGCCTCCTTCTCCAAGGAAGCTAGTGCTCCCTTGAGTGTGATACATGCTTTATTATTTGGCTGGAAGTTTCAGTGCCAGTCCTCCGAGCCGCAGAATAATACACATAGTAAGGATGAGTTTCTCTAACATCTCTGGAGCTCAACATGAGCATAGCTTCCTCAGAGTCCAGAGCTTAGGAGGTCCAGGTAACCATGATAATATTACAATGCTTTAGAATTTGACCAAGCAGAAAAAGCTATGTGTAAAGAGTGGATATTCTGGAGAGAAGTCATGAAAATTAATTTCCTTAGTAAATTAATGGTGGTTTTTGGTAGAGAATTTTAGTGGTAGGGGCATACAGGTGAGAGCAGTACCTCCTGCCTTCACCTTCTTATGGAGCCTTGGCATTACAATATGCACAGCTGGAGGCCTTACCTGCTATGCTGCATTCACACGCCATATATTGTATTCATGCAAGCTGTCTTCAGGAAGTGAGGAGACGTTGTGTGAGACTGGGCAGTGGGAGTGGACTATAAAGTACTTCTAGTTCATGTTGATGACCAGCTCTGGAAAGTGCCTTTTTCCTCGGTGTTCATCCTGTTGTTGTATCCCTTGGTACTTGAATACAGCATTGTTAGTAATAGAAAGTACGACTGCTACAGTGCTTATGAGTACATCAGGGCAAAGTATATATATATATACTTCATATATATGTAGTAAAAGTGAAGAGTGACAAAATTCTGAACTTTTTAAAGTGCCTTTGTATAAATATTTCAGCAAAAAAGTACACAAGAAGCACTTTGCTTAGCTTGCTCCTTACCTGCAACTATGCTCAAGACATTCCCTCAGCAAAAAGACTAAAGTCTATGGAGAAATCAGCTAATTTCCTTTTCAAAAAGGAGTATGACATTGGAGTGATATTTCTGCAGTGAAGCCTAAGTAATACTAATGGATAAGAAAAATAATAAGTCCTGCTCTACCTGTGGAGAGGGCCAACAGCCGGCCAAGAAACGGTGTTTCAGTCGCCTGTGCKGGGCTGCCTTCCATTTATGGGCACATGGGATCAGGCAGAGATCCATGGTGCACATTACTGGGAAGGGTGTAACCGAGGGCAGACGTCCAAAATCTGTGGGCGGGAAGAGAAGATTATGTCATTCTTGAATCTGCCTAAAAGCCAGAACCACGTAAAATGGAATTACTGAGGAAGTCAAGAGGGGTTGCTGATTTCATAACACTGGAAGACAGTGCTTAAAATAAGTAGCTCAGACACAGATGCCTTAAAATTCCTCAGGAACTTGCCAGCAAGTCAATAACCTTAAATGTTTCAGAAGCTGAGGACATGAAAATTATTATGGTGCACTGTGGGAGAAATTCTCTCTCTCTCTCTCTCTCTCTCTCTCTCTCTTTCTCTCTCTCTCTCTCTCTCTCTCTCTCTCTCTCTCTCTCTCTTTCTTTCTGTCAAATATGTTCTATAATGCAGTATATTAAAGAAAGATAAATGCCATGGTTTCAAAACAGCAAATATATATTTAGGGTACATTCAGTGACAGGCTTTCAGTAGCAGTTCTGGAAATACTTCCATGCATTTGTGTGTGTATTGATGCAAACATACATGCGGACGTATATAAACCTTAGATTGTTCATATAAAGCAGTCAAGGTGTCTAAAAAAGGGTGAGCGGTTTACACAATTTGCTTTTAACACAATTTGATTTGTATTATTTGCAAGCACAAGCCCAAGTTTTGCTATACTGAAGTCTTCTACTTACAGTTTTGATGAAAAATGCCAGTATGTGTGAAAAAAAGCCAATATGTTTGTAATCTGAGCTAAAAYGCCAGAGGACAGTGACAGTAACTCTGAGATCTTTTATGGAGTTTTACATTAGATATTGAATTTCAATTTTCTTTTGGATTTTCTATATTTTAAAAATCAACATGTTTGCCTTTTTATTAGCAATGTTAGAAACATTATTTCAAGTAATGAATTGTTTAGACAACTATCTGCTGCTATGGTCATATAATGTCAAGGCATACACAAAATAAAATGATTATATTCATCAGATTTTTTAAGTTTAAATTTTTGCAATGTAATAATGAAATGATAATACATTTTATTGTAATATATTGTAATACTGCAATATGTGGTTCATATTACAATATGGACTTTTAAAAGAACGATGGCCTTGAAATTGCTTCTTTAGAAAAAGAAGCCAAGTCAGATTATGAAGCTCTACCTGTGGAAACATTTGCTAGTTGTTTACTCACAAGACTTGTAACTCTTTCTTTTTAAGTGGTTTCACTATAGCAGTGAAGCTTCTAATTTCAGCAGCACTAACATTTGTATTTATTGTCTTCTTTGGTCATCTTGAGAACATCTCCTTACAAAAAGAAGGGGCAGAAAAGGCCATTTATGATACCAGAAGAGGATTATTAGTAAATGGCCGGTAAACTGGCAGTAGGCAATTAGCAAGTACAGGAATGGGAGAAAGACTCTAAAATATACATGGAATGAGTCACATGCAGAGTTAAAAGAGCCAAAGAATTTTTGATATCCGAGGTTTACATTTTTTTCATGATTCAAAAGAGATTAATAGGAAACACAAAGATGTTCAAGTATCTTTAAACACTCTCTTTCCCACATAAAACAATTTGATTTGTTTATAAAAATATTATTTATTTTTGCACATTACTACATACTGCAGGCCGAATTATCTCAAATATATTTCTGTAAATCTATTATACTTACGATGAATTTCCATTGCCAGGTAAAGCAGATAACCAAATTCAATTACACATTTGAATTCTAAGGTCAAAAGCAGATTTTGAGTGACAAATAAGAGGGCAAGTTGCTTTTTCCAGAGGTACAGACCTTGGTATGCAGGTTCTCTAATCATATTGCAGGTAATCATATGCCAGACTAGTTAAGAATTATAAAATGACTTCATGAAATTGAGTGGGTCATACTTGGCAGAAGATCTTCAGCATAAATTAACACAGGCATTTCAAGTTGTCATTACTTGAGACCTTGGAGAGAGCACATCTTGAGCTGTGCCGTGCAGAATGGTGTCCACATCTCTCGAGAAGGCTGGACTGAAGCCAGAGTCAGCGGAGAGAAGAACAACTGAAATGACCGAGGGCCTGAAACTGCTGTCTCAAGGAGAATTATGCACTCCCTCAGTTTGGAAAAAGAGATGGAAGGGGAGATATAATTCAGGTTTACAAATCATGATGGTGGTTGTAGTATGAAAAGTATGGGAGCACCCAGTCAAACYAGTTTCTCTTTCAGATGGATAGAAAGCTCTGCTTTACAGAGTAGGTGTTGCACTTCTGGAACTCGCTGCTTCCAGGACACACTGTGGAAGGTGAAACAATCAGGAGATTCAAGGGGATAAGGCAAATTCAAGGACAAGTGTATGTATGGACACRATAAAAACCAAGCAGGCTTGCACCCTCTAACCGTCCCAGCACAACTGTTCTTGATACAATATTTTGATGCTGGGCAGTATTGGGGATACTGGGACCACAGAAACTGCCCTGGGTTCATAGGCTTTACTTAAG